CATTCGAATGCCCTATCAACTTTCCGGGAGTGTATATAAAAGACAAATAGATTTTATATACACTCCGGGAGTGTATATAAAAGACAAATAGATTTTATATACACTCCGGGAGTGTATATAAAAGACAAATAGATTTTATATACACTCCGGGAGTGTATATAGCCACGTTCTTTTTATTATTCAAACGTTAGGCGTTCTTCATTAAACGTGCTCTGAAATAGAAAGTATTATTTGCCGAGGCACAATAAGCTTCGCCATGTCAACATATTTTTCACGTCATGTTCACCCAGGGAGGTTGTGGTAAGAATTTCTTTGATTCAACCTTGTCTCACCTTCTCACATTCTTGACTGAGTACGTCAGATCCAAGCTTTGTAACCACTTCAGGACCTCTCTGGGAAGCCCGGCCTTCTTTGGTGCGTGTTGGAAGGACATCTTGGCTTGTCACGACCTTTTGGCTAGCCCCTAATAACTGGGAGAACAGAACGCGATGGAATACTTTAGTTCACTGTTTACACTGTCAACTTCCTCTCCTTGGCAACCATAGAAGCTACCGAGATTAAATAAAGGCTTACTACTACTACTACTACTACTACTACCATAATGTTAAAGGGGTGTTTTTTTTATTTCATTATTCCAACAGGTAATAGAGTAGTTTTTCTTAATATACCGGTACATTCTTAATATAATATACGGCATTTGTATTTGATTAAGTCATTGATACAGAGCGTATCTACAAAGATAATTTGACTAAAATTGAGATCACCCCTATCATCATAGTTGTAATAGTCTACACAACCTTTAAACTGTAACCTGTGAACTTTGACTTTTTGGAAACCGAGCCATACTTCACGCCCGTGCATACTTCGTCTTTCGGAGCTTTACTGCGTAAAAAGCGAGTCCCTTTAATTTTTGGAGATGATAGACAACTGCTGAGTGAGTACAGAATGTCTAAACTTGCCGGTATGGAGGGCTCGGCCAGCCGTGTGCTGCTGCGGGCGGTAGAGCTGGACGGAGCCGCCCGCCTGGCGGAGGCGCTGGTCTGCTACCAGGAGGGAATCCAGCTTCTACTCGATGTACTGAAGGGTGCGTCTCGTGGTTTAGTCTGTTTTAAAATGAGTCGGCGTTCTTGGAGTAGTAAGCTAACGTTACATGTACAAGGTGTGGAACGAACAAGGCGGGTTTACGGAAAACCCTGGGCTGTCTACCTTACCTGTCTACCTGGTTTCTAGTCTTTTCCCCCCCATGCCTTTCCCCCCCCCATGTCAGTCTGGTCATTTCCCTGTCAGTGGTTATGACTCCTAAAGTTATTATTTTCAATCTAAGATAAAATTATGTTACTATAAGTGTCTACATGTGATGTCATTGTTGCATACTACTTTCTTTTATGATGACTACCTTTTTGCCTGATGTTAGCACAGCGCCAGATGCAATGACAAGTTAAACAGAAATATCCACGATTGAAAACATTGAAACGTAAACATCTATGATTTAAAATATTTTAAACATAAACGTCTCTGACTTAAACATTTAAACACAAGCAAGCAGTCACTGAATTCTCCAACTTGACACTGCACCCGGGCTGTGTTAGCGGTGGGGGAACCTGGCATCCCCACCCGCCGCAGTAAAACTGTCGGCTTGTTAGTCTGTAAAATTCTATGAAACTGGGGAAAAACTACAATGGCTAGGACGTCAGGCTAGGTGCCAGACGTCGACGACAGCTTTACGAAACTTCCAGTCGCACAGACCAAGGAGGTTACAAACGTGTGCAATAAAAGGTCGTAATTCATTAATTCATAACCTCTTTGCACAGACATAACCAGGGTGCTATCCTTAGTTTGTATACCTCCCATACTTGATACCTAAAAATATTTGCATTCTGTAAGTACATTGTAGCTTCACCCTTGTGCACAATTTTTCAGAATCACAGTAATACACAGGAGCTTTCAGAGGATGCCATCGGTAAAATTAACTATTAAGTCAGTGTGGCTTATTTGGCAAATTAGCTAAACAGAGCCATATGAATGATATTAAAACAAACAAGCTGATGTGCTCAGTGTAAAGCACAGATAAAAACTTTTTGTTATAGCAACGACAGATGAGGCTAAGAAGGAGAAGTACAGAGAGCGGATAGGAGAGTACATGGACAGGGCAGAGGAGATTAAGAAACATGTTCAACTGGAAAAAGAAGGTGAGGAAATCATCTGCAGTTCTGCACATACATTGTATATACTGTCAGGGGTCAGGCTAATTTGGAAGTGAAACATTTCCTCGAGTTACCTACAGGCCTGTTATGCCAGTGTTTGGAACTCCACTTTTCCCTGGTTTCTCACACAATCTTCTTCTTTCTCCCACTCCCACTTTCTCCTGTTCTTTCCAGCCTTCTCACAGTTTTTCCTGTACTATCTCACTTTCTCCTTAATTCTCCTAATTTCTCCTGTATTCTACTGTTTCTCCCACTTCCTCCTATATAATCCTGGTGTCTCAATTGTTTTCTAGTTACTGCTGGTTAGTATATATTGCAATTTGTACTGTCCTAATTTGAATAAATGGGAAGTTGATATGCTACCATAACCAAATTTCCCTTGTTTTGTATTTGGCTATAAAATGTTATATTCTTATTTCAGCTGGAAAGTACCATGAACAAATCCACATAGCTGCTGGTTCAGTAGGTAACAGTTATGGCAGACTCTTTAAACCATACATCGATCAGACCCTGACGGAGGTATGGGTGGACGATCCCTACATTAGGTCAAAACACCAGGTACAGATGTATTATCTGAGTTCTATAAGGCCACACCAATTTAATTTCTTGGTTTACGGATTCGCCCTCTTCATTTTTGCAAAAAAAAAAGAAGAAAGATTCTGGTTCAGAATCAACTGCAAAATGCTCATATTTTGCCCTGAACAGATGAAAACAGTCCTTTTCTTCCTAGTTGTTACAGTTATTCCATCTTTCAATGCAGTGGTTCCATTAAAAGTTCAAAATTCACTGTTTAAATTTTGAACCAGCCTGGTGTGTTGACTTCATGACTCTTATCGTACCATCTTGGGCCATAATAGGATGCCTAGGCCTGTTTTTTTTTTTTTTTCGCCCGCCCGCTCCATTATTTTTCTAGAAAAATCCGTTAACCAAGAAATTAAATTGTTGTGGCCTAATGCATAATATGTAAAATGAGATTGTGGATGAAATATGTGGCCTATGTTAATGAATATTTATCTTTACCTGCTGGTAAGTTTTGTTAATAGCTTTGGTTTATCTAGCCTGGAATCCATCCGTGAACGCTTTATCTCCGCTCCGTTCCTCCGCTTTCCTTGAAGGCAGAGCGGAGGAACGGAACGGAGATAAAGCGTTCACGGATGGATTCCAGGCTATGGTTTATTCACATTTGTCCATGTTTATTTAATAACTTCCAGTCTCCTAACAGATTCTTTTGCCCTTTCACAGATAATGAACTTCTTGAGGTTTTGTGAGTTACTGGTGAAGTCTGACTGTCAGGTTAGGCGGATACATCTCACCACTGGAGAAGAAGAGGTAGGACTATCAACAATGTTAAGGCCACACTGACTTAATTTTATGAATGACATTGTCTGAAGACCCCCAAGCTAGTACATGCAGGCGTATAAAAAAATTCCAGTAAAAAAAAAAAGCTGCTTAACTACAGGAATACAAATTAAAGCTGGTAATTGTGAGCCTGAAAGGAGATTATTTTTGAGAACAGGTGAAAATCAATGCACACGCAGATGTCATCCATAAACTTAAATCAGTGTGGCCTAACAGCAGGTACAGTTCTATGCTAACAGCAGGTACAGTTCTATGCTAACAGCAGGTACAGTTCTATGCTAACAGTAGGAACAGTTCTATGCTAACAGCAGGTACAGTTCTATGCTAACAGCAGGTACAGTTCTATGCTAACAGCAGGTACAGTTCTATGCTAACAGCAGGTACAGTTCTATGCTAACAGCTGGTACAGTTCTATGCTAACAGCAGGTACAGTTCTATGCTAACAGTAGGAACAGTTCTATGCTAACAGGTACAGTTCTATGCTAACAGCAGTTACAGTTCAATGCTAACAGCAGGTACAGATCTATGCTAACAACAGCTACAGTTCTATGCTAACAACAGGTACAGTTCTATGCTAACAGCAGGTACAGTTCTATGCTAACAGCAGGTACAGTTCTATGCTAACAGCAGGTACAGTTCTATGCTAACAGCAGGTACAGTTCTATGCTAACAGCAGGTACAGTTCTATGCTAACAGCCTGGTACAGTTCTATGCTAACAGCAGGTCAGTTCTATGCTAACAGTAGGAACAG